AAAAAAAAAAAAAAAGAAAGAAATCAGATCTTATATTACACTGGGCAAATCTGCTGCAAAAGACCTCTTTAAAGTGTTGAAGAGCAAATATGTCACTTTGAAAACTAAGGTACGCCTAACCCACACCATAGTATTGTCAATCTCCTCATATGCATATGAAACCTGGACAATGAATAAGTAAGATCTAAGAAGAGTGATGCTTTTGAGTTGTGTTGCTGGCAAAGAATACTCTATCCTGGAAGAAGTGCCACTGGAATGCTCCTTAGAAGCGAGAATGGCCAGATTTCACCTCACCTACTTTGGTCATGTAGTCAGAAGGGACCAGTCCCTGGAGAAGGATATCATACTTGGTAAAGTGGAGGGTCAACCAAAAAGGGGAAGACCCTCAACAAGATGAATTAACACAGTGACTGCAACAATGGGCTTAAATGTAGCAAGGATTATAAGGGTGGGACAGAACAGGGCAGTGTTTCTGTTGTACATAGGGTTGCTATGAGTTGGAATTGACTAAACAGCACCTAACAACACAACCCATAAAGTAATACCAATGAATCTCACAGATACCAATTGAATGAAAGAAGTAAGATACAAAGAGTATGTACTTTATTACTCCATTTATTTTTATATTAAGTTGAAAAACAAAATTACTCTATGTGACAAAGGTCAATGGCTACATTTGTGGGTAGTGATAATTGGGAGGGGGTATATGTGGGTCTTCTGGAATGCTGGTAAAGTAGTGTGATTTCAGTAATGATTACACGAGTGTATTTACTTTGTAATAATTTATTCATCTGTATGTACATTTAATATTTATGTGATTTATACATATTTTATTTCAATAAAATATTTACCTGAAAAAGTGTGTTAAAAAGCATAGATAGATCCATTAAAATGAGGGCTGGATGTAGCAATATGGAGGTCACTGATACCTTGACCTGAGCAATTTCAATGGAGTGATTGGGATGAACACTTACATAGAGTGAATATGGAAAGGGATGGAAGGAGAGTTAGTTGAGGCAAGTGTTATCTAGGTCCCATCTCTTCTGGTTGGATGCTAAGGTCCTTCATGATCTTGCCATGCCTGATCTATATAATATTTCTTCCATGATTCCAAAATATCTACTCTTTCTTTCTCCCTAACTTTAAGGTCCTGACTGGCCATCATTCTATGCTAATACTTTGAATATTTTGCTACCAAAATGGGAGACTTTAGTAGAGCATAGAGTAAGTGGAGATTTGAGTCTACTAAAGTGCCCCAGTAAGGTAGTGCCTACGGCACTTGACTGCTAACCAGAAGGCTGGTGGTTCAAACCCACCAGCCACTCCTTGGAAGGAAGATGGGGCAATCTACTTCCGTAGTGATACTGCCTCAGAAACCCAAGGAGGGGTTGCTATGAGTTGACAGCACATAACAACAACAACAAAGTGCCCCATGATATCCCCTAAAGAACTAGGTTTAAATTGGTAGAGAGTAGTGGTTCTCAAATGTTGGTGAACTTTAGAATTTAAAAAAAACTTGTTAAAAAATGAAGATATCTGAGCCCCATCCCCCAGAAATTTAGACCCAGTATATGTAGTGGTGGGAGGAATGCAGGAATCTGGACTTGTAATACGAACCCCAGGTGATTATGAAATTACTTGTCTATAAACATCCTGTTAAGAAATAGTTGTATATGATGTGCAAGAATATAGGAAAGGAGACGAGAAGCAAACCTCTACTACCAGTTGGGTAGGTGGAATGAGGAATGACTTTTGTCCCCATTTTATATCTGCTGTTCCATGGAGCTTTCCCCCCTCTATCAGAAGGGTGATTAAAAAAAAAAAAAAAAAAAAATCCTCTGACCCCTGAAATGTGATCATGTTCTCTTTCTACCATTAAGTTTCTATATGTTGTAGGCTTATGACACAAACAAAGCTGTGATGATAAACTTTCTTCTTTCTTTCCTTTTCCTTTGCTCTTTATTCTTTATCTCTTCTTATCCCTTCCTTTCTTGTTCCCTTCTCCTTCTTCCTATCCCCTAACCTTCCCTTTCCTCCTCTTCTTTTTCATCTTTTTTTTTTTTCAACTCATTCTCTACCTGTGTCATATTCTTCACTTCCTCTTCCCCTTCCTCCCTCTGTTTCTCTCTCCTTCCAACTTTCAGATAGAAAAAAGAAAGTTCAACCAGAACTCTAACTCTACGTACTGTATCTTCATGGTCAACAAGCCCTATGCCATCACCTGCTCTGTGGTGGCCTTCTACATCCCGTTCCTCCTCATGGTGCTGGCCTATTATCGCATCTATGTCACAGCTAAGGAGCATGCCCACCAGATCCAGATGTTGCAGCGGGCAGGAGCCCCCTCAGAGGGCAGACCCCAGCCAGCAGACCAGCACAGCACACATCGCATGAGGACAGAGACTAAAGCGGCCAAGACCCTGTGCATCATCATGGGTTGCTTCTGCCTTTGCTGGGCTCCATTCTTTGTTACCAATATTGTGGATCCTTTCATAGACTACACTGTCCCTGAGCAGGTGTGGACCGCTTTCCTCTGGCTCGGCTATATCAATTCTGGGTTGAATCCCTTTCTCTACGCCTTCTTGAATAAGTCTTTTAGACGTGCCTTCCTCATCATCCTCTGCTGTGATGATGAGCGCTACCGAAGACCTTCCATTCTGGGCCAGACTGTCCCCTGTTCAACCACAACCATTAATGGATCCACACATGTGCTAAGGTGAGTGCTTAAGGTTGGTGAATTTTGTCAATGCATATTACTCAGAAGGGGTAACTCTTCAGTTTTCTGTTTCTAGAGGGGTCATTCCTAAAAACCTATGCAAAGATTAAAGAAGAGTCTACCATCCAGTCATAGATTAGTTTAATGAGGAAGGGCTCACTGTGGAGGGAGACCAGTTTGCATCCAAATCAGTCTTCATTGTTCTGTGACTTTGGGCAAGTCACTTAATTTAATTTAATTTATTTTTTTTTTAATTGAGAGTATAACCACTATATTTATACCACAGAGGTTTTGTGAAGATCAAAATAACTAATGTATATAGAGCACATAGTATAGACTCGGACATCTAGTAACCACTTAGTAAATTTATCTACTGTTACTGAAAAACTATATTTTAGGACAGTGGTTAAAAACACAGGCTTTAAAATAAAATAGATTTTATTTTGACTCATTGTCTCTACTACTCATCAGTATAATCTCTATAATCTCTCTTGGTTTCACTTTCCTCAGCATTAAATTGGTGATAATAATAATACCCATCTCATAGGATTTTTGTGACAATTAGAATATATTCATATTAGGGTCAGAGTAAGCACTCATAATACTAATAATAAAAGCTTTAGTATTAGTAGGAGTAGGGGTAATAACATATGGTCTGATATCCTAAAATGGTCATAAAATAACATGATTAACTAATAAAAATAGAATAATAAATACTTAACAGTAATGTCATATGCCAAATGACATAATAGACCTATGGGCATTCTAGAATGGGATTATGAGTAAGAAACAAGCTGATTTGGCTTAGAGGAATCACAGAAGCCTTCATAGAAGAGCATTTTATAAGAACTCGAGACATGGAGGAGATATGAGGAAAACCAGTCTAGGCAAGGAGATCAGCATGAGGAAAGAAATGGAAATACAAGGTCAAGTGTAATGGAAATAAAAGTCAAGTGAATTACCCAAGGTCAGACAGTTTGATGGAGGTGTAATGACTCTGGAGTTGAATGCTCGCTGACTATTCATAATGCCTCTTTCTAAACCCTGAGAATTTTCTAGCCACCATGGCCTAGAGTTGTTCTTGCTGTGAAGAGCCATGTAAGATAAATACATCTTTTAGCAAAGATGAATTGTTAACGACATTTTTTCTCTGCCCTGGGATGCACAGGGATTTCTAAAGAGCAGTTCCCTCTTTGAGACAAGCCTTTAATTTTTCTGATGATGACAGTATTCAGCTGTTTTTGCAGCTGAAAATTGGGAATTTTCATTTACATGTGTAAGAAAAAAAGAGAAAACAGGAATTGCTACGAAATATAAATGCTGTGGCTCAGACACTGCTCAGAAGCATGAATTCAATTTTCTATCAGTGTGGGCAGACTTGTAGCCAAAGCTTAATATGGTGTTGAGATCCCTGCTGTTGGAAGAGCCTCAAAGCTCCTATAGGCTGACATTCTTTTTTAATTATTATGCCTTAGTGAGTGTCATAGAAGGAATCCAACCATAAAGTAAAGTGTGTGTACAATAACGTCTGTGTGGGTACCTCAGAGTTTTTTAGCTATTTAAGCTAGCAGTTGCCTAAGTACAGGCTGTCAACAACTTACAAACAGTGCTATGTTCCAGGAGTGCATTTGTTAAGTCAATTGGTTAGATTTGGTGGCCTTTTCCCATAGAAATAGTCATAGAAAGGGTGTAAGGGTTTCTAGAGCAAGCCCCAAAATTTTTCTTTACTCATGCTATACTATTTTATCTCTACTGCTTTTGGAAATCCTCAGTGTGATTGTAAAGCAATGAGACAGCACTTTGAAGATGGCTTGGTCTCCATATTAAATTCCTTAATTTCTTCATGTTGTCATGATAAGTGCAGGAAGTTGATCTTAGGTATTTTTCCATGGAGATGGAAAATCTTAGAACAGCTGAGGTCACCATTACAGAGAGAAGACTAATTGAAACCTGAATCCACTAGAAGATAAATCTTACAAGGACAGGAATCCTGCCTTTTTCATGAGGCACTTACTTACCTGCTCACCAGAAGGCTGGTGGTTCAAATCCACCAGCCACTCCTCGGAAGGAAGATGGGGCAATCTACTTCCGTAGTGATACTGCCTCAGTAACCCAAGGAGGGGTGGCTATGAGTCGTCGGACTCAACAGCACATAACAACAACAACAATGTAACAAATACAACATTCATGATATATACTTGTATTTTTTACAAATAACACACTCTTTCTACACCTGTTTGTCAACTGCTTCCTCCCTCTAGGAGATATTTTAGTAAGCACCACTGTTGTTGTTGTTATGTGCCATCGAGTCAGACCCGACTCATAACGACCCCTCCTTGGGTTTCCGAGGCAGTATCACTACGGAAGTAGATTGCCCAATCTTCATTCCGAGGAGTGACTGGTGGGTTTGAACCAGCAGCCTTCTGGTTAGCAGTCAAGTGCCTTAGGCACTATGCTACCAGAGCTCCTAAACACCACTATGCCAATTTTATTTATTATTTTTACATGTTGCTGTAAGAAAAAAGGAAATTAGCATAGACCATTTACAAAAATATTTCCCAGCAGGGGAAAGCAGTGATTGCCAAACAAGTGCAAAAGGCACGTGTTATTTGAAAAAAAAAAAAAAAGGTAGTAAGAATTTAAATATTTGATGAATTAATTAATATATCCTAAAATTAATTCTCTAGATCAGTTATGTTATAACTTGACTTGCCTAGTAAAAATATGCTATTTTCCTAAAAAAAAAAAAATCAGTAGATACTCCAAAAAACCAAACTCACTGCCGTTGAGTCAGATTCAACTCATAGCAACCCCTCCTTAGGTTTCCGAGGTGGTATCACTACAGAAGTAGATTGCCCAATCTTCCTTCCAAGGAGTGGCTTGTGGGTTTGATCCTCCAGCCTTCTGGTTAGCAGTCAAATACCTTAGGCACTGTGCCCCAGAGCTCCCTCAAGTAGATAGGGCAGTAACAAATCCAGGTGAGTTAAGAAATATAAAACTAAACAAGAAAAATAAAATTCAAACTTTAACCTAAGGCATCTGACTGCTAACCAGGAGGTTGGTTGTTCAAACCCACCAGTCACTCCACAGAAAGAAAACTGGGCAGTGTACTTCCGTAAAGATTTACAGCCTGGGAAACCCGAAGGAGGTCCCTATGAGTTGGAATTGATTGGATGGCAGTGCGTTTGGTGGTTTTTTGGGTTTTTGGTTTTTTTTTTTGTTATCTCCAGAGACAACAATTAACATTAGTCAGGTGGCCTTTTTGATGTATTTACAACATTCATGAAAATATACAAAATCATAGTATATTTCTTAATTTTATATAAGTGTAATGATTCATATGTATTTTTTGCACCTTTATTTTTTCTTCTTTAAAAGTACATTTTGGAGATCATTCAACTTCACTACATGCAGATCTAACTCGTTTTTGTTTTAACTTCCCTACTGTCTTCTGTATTAAAAATGAATGTGGAATTTTAAAAATTATTTCCCATTAGTGGACGTGGAGGTGTTTCCAATTTTTTGCTATTACAAAGTGTACTGTTTTTAATGATCTTGCACATATTTCTTTGTACGTATGTCAATATATTTTTTTCAGATAGCTACCAAAAGTGAGATGCTATACTGACATGTATGTCCATTTAAAATTTTGATGTATACTATAAAATTGACTTCCTAGAACACCATAGAAATTTGTCTTCTCTTCATTTGAGTGTGAAAGTATCTTCTATTCCTTACCCTCAGCAACACTGAATATTATCAATCTTTTTTTATTATGTTAATTTGAAAAAATGCTCTTTCGGTTAATGTGCATTTCCCAGATTATTTGGGACATTAGTTATTGACTGTATTCTTGCTAAGGAGCTCTGATGGTGTAGTGCCTAAGGCATTTGATTGCTAACCAGAAGGCTGGAGATTCACACCTACCAGCCACTCCGCAGAAGGAAGACTGGGCAATCTACTTCCAAAATGATTTCCAAACCAAACGAAACTCACTGCCATCCAGTCAATCCTGACCCATAGTGACCCCTCCTTGTGTTTTCAAGGCAGTATCTCTAAGGAAGTCGCTCATAGGGGGGGTCGCTATGAGTTGGGTCTGACTAAATAGCACATAACAACAACAACAACGTGAACTATATCTTCATATATTTTTGCCCTTTTTTATGTCAAATTTGTTATATTTTTTCTTACTAATTTCTAGATTTTATTGTTGTTGTTGTTATGTGCCATCAAGTCAGACCTGACTCATAGCCACCCCTCCTTGGGTTTCTGAGGTGGTATCACTAGGAAGTAGATTGCCCCATCTCACTTCAGCAGGTGAGTTTGAACCACCAGCCTTCTGGTTAGGGATCAAGTGCCACGAGCACTATGCTACCAGAGCTCCCAAACTTTATTATAGTCTGGCTATTAGCCGTTATTATGTAATTTACAAATACATCTCCCCATCTTCTACTTGTTTTTGAAACTCTGGTTAATGTTTGTCATATACAGGTGTCAAATGTTGAAAACATTTGAAAAGGCTTATATGACTTCTCACATTTGGTCCATCTTCCTTCACAAAACACTTTCCACACTGATTTTCTGAAACAACATACTTTCCTGGTTTTTCTTCTACCTCACCAGCAATCTTTTCTCTTTCTCTGTTATCAGTTCTTCCATCTCTATCTGATCACTAAATATAGTCCTTCAGGGCTTGATTCATGATGAGCCAGCCCTGATTCATGATGAGTTGGCCCTGACTCATAGCAACTCCTCCTTGGGTTTCCGAGGCGTTATCACTATGGAAGTAGATTGCCCAACCTTCCTTCTGAGGAGTGGCTGGTGGGTTTGAACCGCCAGCCACCTGGTTAGCAGTCAAGTGCCTTAAGCACTATGCTACCAGAGCTCCCTCTCAAACAACAGTCCTTTGTAAATGATTTCAAAATCCATGGTTATAAATATCATCTATATGCTGTCAGTTTTCTATCAAGTCAGTATCTCCAGATCATTGCTCTTTTCTG